AAAATAATAGTTATAAAATTACTATAGAAGATTTCTATATCATATAAAACATACAATTTATCAAACCTAAAATGTATTACCTACTTTGCTTTTGTTGTGCGATGACGTATACTATCGTGAACTTTTATTACTGGTTTACCAACATTCTTTGTTACATGCAGTGCTAATTCTTTGCTTATCCATCCTTTTTCATCCTTTAAACCAGGTATTTTATCTCGGAAATCTTCTTCTGCCCATACGTCTTTTGCTGTTTTGGTTAATTGGTCCTCTTTCTTTAGCTTTTTTTCAAGAGTTTCGTAGTATCGTTCCCTATCTTTGTTTGCTTGGAAATGTCGAGGTTTAGTTGGATTCCGCACCTCTTCTTCGATAATACGTCCACTTTTCTTTTGGCGAACTCGATTCCTTTTATATTAGATTGTTTTATACCATTCTATAAATTTTTCAGATTATAATTTTACCTTTTGACAATCGGATCTTGGACTTTAGATGTGTTGTTTAATGCTTCCAAGGAACGCAATGGTTTTTTAGCATTTAACTTCCGTTTTTGCTTTTCTGTCAGAACGGCCGGTTTGTGTTTCAGTGGTGTAGCATCCACTGTAAACAACTCTTCGTCCTTTTTTTCTGCAAAAGATCTACTCGCAATATTAAAAAAAAAAACAATGTTTATTATTTACGTTAGTCTTTTAATTTAAAAATATTTTACCCAACACGTTCCTCTTGCCGTTGGTCCTCTAAAAATTCTTCCACATCTTTAATATCCGTTTTGCGCCATGCTGATTTGGTTTTCTTTGAAATACGTTTTTTCTTAATGGCAGACATATTTCTTTAAGTTTGCTTAAACTAAATTTGTTTAAATTTTAATTTCTACCGTGAAAACCTTAAAGAAATACACGTGTGTACACGTTCGCTGCAGTAAATGAAGAAATGTCAGATTAATCAATGACAATATACAATTGTTTAATACAGTACGAATAAAAATGAGTAAATTTAAACCGCCAGCTGTTGCACAGATGCACGAAAATATATACATATATTAGACGTTCTCTGTTGTTGTCTTTTCGGAACGATGTACACAAAAGAGAGCTGAGTAATTGTAGAAATTTAAAGATTGAGATTGAAATAAAGTAAAATTAAAACATAAGAGATGTTATTTCAGCACACACATTGTTCATTTAAATTATAGTGTCTGAAATAGTCAAACATGACACTAGCGTTACAATTTTCGTCCCATCAACTCTGAATGAGGTGAAGTTGTCATTCATAATTTTAATAGAACGCGAAAAGCGGAACGTGGCAGAGCCAGAGAACATAAAGATATACATTTATACATTCTCCGACAAAGCATCGTTTACGGCCACAGGTGTTTATTGGGGTCGTATTTATAGTGCTGAAATATTTCAAGTTTGAAGAAATTATCAAGGAAAAATGCGTTTTGCCCAATATATTTGTTTCGCGGCTATTTCCTTAGCCATAGTGCCAGCATGTCTAGGACTTTTGGATGGTATCTATTGCGGCAAGGAAGATTGTTATGATGTCTTGGGTGTAACTCGTCAATCCACCAAATCCGAAATAGGAAAAGCGTATCGATTGTTAGCTCGGAAACACCATCCAGACATGCATCGGGGAGTTGAAGCAAAAGCGGAGGCAGAGATAAAATTCAAATTGGTCGCCACTGCGTATGAAATCCTGCGAGACGATGATTCACGGAGAGATTACGACTATATGTTAGACCACCCAGAGGAATACTATTCACACTATTATCGCTACTATAGAAGACGTGTTGCGCCAAAAGTCGACGTTCGCATCGTCATTGTTGCAACTCTTACAATAGTTTCCATCATTCAGTACTACTCGGGACTACAGCGTTATGATAGCGCTATAAAATATTTGGCAACTGTGCCAAAATATCGAAATCAGGCAATAGAAATTGCCAAAGACGAGATTGAAAAAATAAGTAATCGTAAGGGTAAGAACCGGATGTCAAAGACATATCAACGCGAAGAAATTGAACGCATTGTGCGCAAAGTTATAGAGGAAAAAATGGATGTTAGGGGCGGCTATGCCAAACCTTCAATATATGACATTCTGTGGGTTCAGTTGCTGATTTGCCCATACACCTTGCTTAGTTTCTTAGTTTGGAATGCGAAATGGATTTGGAAATTCACATTAAGGAAGCAGCCGTACGGACGAGATGAAAAGCTTTATTTGATAAGGCGTTATATGAAAATGGGTGAGAATCAATTTAATGGATTAGAAGATAATCAAATTGAAGAATATTTGCGATTAGAGTTGTGGGAAAAAGATAAGTTTGAAGAATGGCATGAAGAGCAGGAAGAGGAGATGAAAAAGAAATTGGCTGAGAATCCACGATACAAATCTTACCGACGATTTATGAAAAACCATGGCCCAGGAAGAATGACATTTGAGGATTAAAAGATCTACGTCTCAAAACCAATTAATACAAATGTCGAACATAAGCTCAAAATTTGCATAAAATATTTATTTTATGTCCAAAATAACAGTAAAGTAGTTTCACAATAATTATGGCTAATATATCAACATCTATTCAAGTTGATCAAGTTTTATTGATTGCGTTTTCAAAATGTCTTTCTTTTTGTCATCGAAATATATTTTAAAATAAAATTTACTGCAAACATAACACATTTGAGAGTTCACATTTCGTATTGCTTTAAAATTGATGCTTAAATAATGATCATCACGATACTTTCCGCAATCTACTGATTGTTCATTGAACTATTGGGGAACCGGTTTATATAAGTGGAATGTAAGCACACTCGCAAGATTATGAAGTTGCTTTAATTATATCCACATGTTCTTATTTGTAGAATAGTCTTATTGACACAATTGTTTTTATTCATATTTGGCACTTTTATACATACAATATTTTTGCCTGTTGAAATTCATCATAAGAAAAGTTTTATAAGACCATTACAATGCTGTCGCTTTGCAAACAATGTTGACGAAATTTGTTTTCCGTGCCAAATAATTTACATATTAATACATATATGTACTTATTTCGTAGCTTTATGTTGTAAAATGATAATTTTTTAAGAGGTCTAATCATTCAATTAATAATTTATTGTTTATTATAATATTACATTATCCATATTATTAATACAAATACTAATAAATACATTGATGAAAAGTTATGGCGGTAGAACTTTATCAGCATATCATTCACCACATGTGGTTTCTACAAGTAAATATTCACCTAGTCCAGCAGGTGAGCGTCTGGTATGAAAGATCTTTGTGTGCCAATATGAAATATATGTTAAAATCAATCCTCCGCGGAAGATACATAAATATATTCCCAAGCAGTTAATTAGTTACACGTTTGAGTTGTTGAGGGTTCAATTAACGGAAATTGTCTTTACGTTAGCGATTTTTTTATAATTTGTATAATGCTACTAGCGACTATGAACGTACTCCCAAAATGTATTCGACATTATTATCATCTTCTAAGTGTTCTTCGTCGATGGTATCTTCCAGTTCCATGGTACAACGGCTTATTTCATCGTCTCCGTTGGTTAAATTTCCACTATCACTTACTAATTCTGTGGTAAAGATGCATTCCTCAAAGGCCACTGTTTTTATTGCAGTAATTCCTTGTTGCTGCGTTGTTTCCGAATCAGATTTCATACTAACTGCAGATTCATTATCATTTATTCGTGTAATTAATGGCATGTTTTCACAGCGTGTATGGTTTTCTAAGTGAGCTAATAGGTATACTTTCTTTGTGAAGCCTCTACCACATCGTGTACATTGGAATTTTTTCTCTCCCGTATGTGTTCGCAAATGTACGGTCAGAACATGTGGATATGCAAAGGACTTATTGCAGGTTGTGCAACGATATGGCCTTTCACCTGTATGTGTACGTTCGTGTTTACTTCGCGACCCAAAGTCGGAAAATCGTCTTTCACAAAAAGAGCAAGGATATGGCTTTTGACCCGTATGCACACGCATATGTCGTCTAAGCTCTACATTCGAAACAAATGCCTTGTCGCAAAGTTCACAACCGAATTGCCGGTCGTTGTTATGTCTGCGCATATGAGCGCTTAATGCGTGTTGGTACTTGTAAATGTTTCCACAGATCTCACAAATCTTGATAGGAGCATGAAACGCTTTGCTTCTATGCGATAACTTTTGAGGACTATTGTACTTTGCCTCAGTCGGAGTGGATAATTTTTTATAACCGAATTTCTTTTTAAATGATAATTCTTTTTCAGCATTAGTTTTTGATTTAATAGAAGATGAAATTATATTATTTTCGCTGTTCGGAAAGTCATCTTCCGTTTGTTTACTTATAAAACCTATACTATCATCCTCGACGCCATCTTCTGAGAATTCTTCTTTTATTTCAGCTTCAAATTTCAATCCATAGTCTGTAGAGTTGATTTCATTTTGAGTCTCCACGTTACTTACTTTTTCTATATTAGATTTTTTATGAATTACTTTAAAATCTTCATTCGCTTCAAGACTTTCTTCCCGAATACAGTTAAAATAATCCGTACTTTCATCTGATTGTTTTTGCTCATCTTCATCAATATATTCAACTATTCCGAAACCCGAAATGGAATCCAAGTCATCTTGAGATTTTTCTACTTCGTTTGGATCAATGTCGTCAGATTGTTCTCCATCTGCTTCAGGAGTATCGGTATATGATTTAATGTCAGAATGAACTCGTTGTATTTTCAAAGAAGTAGGAAGTTTCATTTTGTCACAGTCGACTTCATAACTGACCAAGGACACATCTCCATTTTCTTCTTGTTGTATAGATCTGAAGAGGGAATTAGTGGTTTCACAATTTTTCCGGAATCGCCAAGCAACAGAAAGATCATCCAAACAGCGATTACATATTTTGTTTGAAACTTTAATACTTATATTTGATAAATTTAATCCGGAACATAATGAAATCTTTTCGGCAATTGATAAACTAGACTCTGGCTCCGACTGAGTAGAATTCTCCTTATCCCTAGAGAAGACAGATATCAAATCACCTCCATCGTCTTGAAGGCAAATAATGCAAACGAACTTTAAATCGATCACAACTGCCATGGGTATTTATTTACGATGTTTACTATAAAATTTTGTTAATCCTTTTGTGTAAATCCTTTGTCAAAACAAAACAATAAATTTCTCAAAATTTGACAGACCGACAAAACCTGTCATTTATCATTAACCCGAACGTTACACGATCAAGAAAAAATACATTCACACTCCATTTTCGAACTTGAACGCCGTCTTGACAAAAAAATTTTATAAGCAAGTAGTGAGGCAGGTTGACGACAACGTTAAAACAGCTGAAACACTTTTGCTAATATGAATATTTCGTGTATTTATATCAAAACTATGTATCACAATAAATAGTTATATCCCTTCAACTATTTCTTTCGCGAAAGTTTCAAGAAAGCTGTTTTCATGAAGACGGCATCTTCAAAGTATTACTGATTATTAAGTTGCTTGCAGCCTACGTCAGAACTGAAAAAATATGTAATAAAAAAATATTTTATAGTATTATATCAATAAATTTAGATATGCATAAAAATAAATAACTTAACTCAACCGACTTTAAGCCCCAAAAGGAAATTGAATGCGACTCAGCTTTTACTTTCTACGGAGTTGCACCATGTTCAGACAGAAAATTTAAAGGGATTAAATTACATTGAATAACATTAATTAATCAGCACGTTCTCACTGCCGTTGCAAAGGTGAAAATACAGCGGGTAAAATTTAGAATAGCATCCCCGGACTTCGGGGATAAAATGGGTATCACTGGAAAGGTGACGTTCTCCGGATCACGAAAATATATGTATATAGTTGCCGCTGACTTATAATTTTAAAGGTATTAGCATTTAATGTTGAAAAATTAACAACTTTTACATTGATAATTTGTATATTGTGAATAACTTTTCCACTTATATTATTCACTTTTCACCTTCCACACACTTCACTATAACGTTTCTGTACATTTTTTTTTTTTTAATATTTGTTGTAAATAAAGCTTTGTTTTAATTACTTTATTTTAGTTAAATTCTCTGCATTTGCACAATAAGAAAGGGTTGATATGTGTGATAATATTTACATTCTCTGGTCAAAGCATTAACTTTTTGATATTCAATGACGGCAATAATTATCATGTTAAATGATATGATTATTATTGCTTACTGTAAGAATTATGTTGCATTTATATTAATGATTGTTAGTAGAGAACGGAAATATATTTCTACATTCTCTGTTGGAGACTGATAATAGTGCAGCTGGCAGAAAACGTCAAATCTAGGAATTCTCTGATGTTATTGAAATAAAAGAATCAAAACAAAATAGGCGCAAAGAAATGTCGAATCCTATAGCATTCATAACCGAAAATTTATGTTTATATTTATTAGAAAAACCAAGCCTATTTCCTGATGTAAATATCCCAAAGAAAGCGACCAATTTCATACGCACACATAAAGAAAAATTAAAAGTACAAGGAGAATTTAGCTTTCCTTGTCGTTCAGAACTATGGAATAACTGTTGTAAAGAAACAGGACACAAGCTGCGCTCAATTGCATTTGATATGTTTAAAGATGAAGGAGAAGATGTGTCTATTAATGCGCAAGAAAGATTTCTTAAAACGGCCGCTACCTGGACATTTCCAGTGGAACGGATAAAAATTGATAATGAACGATGCTTTTTATACCTGCAGCGACAATCCGTATTGACAACGTTACTTCAACAGGTTTTGAAAAATGACAACACAAATACCTTTGGGAAGTTGGAAAAAGACCCTAAACAAAGGGCATATTTTAGTCGTATAAACCAAGTCGGAGAAGAAATCGAAGAGCTGTCACTTTATAGGGTTAAACTGTTAGAGGATATCCTCGGTCGGGTTTTTGAATACTCGAAATGGACCATGATAACAGAGGAAGAAATAATGGAAGTAAAACAAGGAAAAGGACAAGGTGTTTTGCAAGTACAAGTAATTAGTACTGCTGGTAAGCCCTCTATAAATACAGTTGTTATTCCTTCAAATATGCTGAGCTCTGCCACCATTCGATGTGGCATAGTTATTGACCCAATTACTGGAAAAATAACAAAGTTGAAAACCAAAGAGTATCTAAGGTAATTTATTGTYTTCACACTAATAAATAACAGGAATAAAAATTTATTCGTTAAAGTTGTCGTTCTAATGATATGTGCTTAATGGCAATGCATAAGTATGGCGTGCGAGTAAAAGACGATACAAGATTTAGTACATTGATGTCTCGATTAGGTGCAGCAGCTGTTACTGTTGACTTAATGGAAGTACGTTTTTCAAGTCCCGTACAAATAATCCGTAGCGGCAAAGGAAGTACAAAAGGTAATAGTAGAAAATATATGAATCAAGGAAATTTATATATTTTGAGTACAATAGGTGCTGCGTTTATTTTGTATAACTCTGCGCGTTTAGAGTCATTGCTTCGCCGTTTTGATGAGAAGGTAGATAATGGTGATTACGAAGGTCTGCCGCCCCTAGATAGTATTGACTTCACTTTGCTCGATGAAGAAGTAAGTGTTATTGTTAATGGCGTATATTTTTATGTTCAATCAATTGGTTAAAGTGGCCAATTGGTTATTAAATTTTCTTTTTAATTTTTAAATAGGAGGAATGGCAACTAGTGTTTTGTTATATATTTGCCTTCCCGAACCTTATTGAAAGTTGTCTGGAACAGATACAAAAAGGAATATGTGCTGTTCATACTATCGTGAGATTCCTTGGCGATTTCGCTGCACTCTTTAGTGTATACTACAGAAGAATTCGAATCTTAACTGTAAGCTTATATTGGGATTATATTATTATTTTTACTTCTCTGTTTCTTTTTATTATTATATGCATATAATTTGAATTGTTTTCATTTTCATTCAATGTACAGCAAGAAACGCGACAGCACTTAATGCCTTACGTGTATGCACGTATATATCTGGTGAAAGCAGTTCGCGAAATTCTTAATAAAGCATTGGCTCTGCTTGATATCGAACCCGTTCATTTTATGTRATCGATTGTTAAAATTTGTGTGTAGGTAATAATAATTTTGTGTAAAATTTATATAAATATATATTTAATAACCCCGGTTTCGTACATACCTAATGCAAGAAAAACTATATTATCAAATATATAAAATACTTATTATTATTTGCGTACAAACACTCTTGGAAAAATACCATAAAATCCGCAAGTAAATTTTTATCTCCAAACATAAGTATGTATACTGGTCCTATGCAAAGAATTTTACAGGTTCGTCTTATAACTACAGTTTACAACCACAGACATATGTACATATGTATGTATCGCTCTTATATCTGTATAACCTCTTGGAGTGCCTTAGTTCCTGAATATTCTATGTAATACATTAAGGTTTGTTTAGTATGCATAAAAATGTTATAAACATCATTGATTTTGGTATGTCACTAAACCTATTATATCTCATCTCTGCTCCTTTCTTTGATTGAATTCGGATATGAAATTTATGTTATCTTTATTACCTTGAAATAATTGTTCCATAAAATGGGTACTACCAATGGAATTCGCTTTCGTTCCTAAACACATGTTATATTGTGAAGCATCGAGCTTAATATCACAATTAATATCGTGGAATATATGTACCAATGTCGGATCGGGGGCGCGGAATATATTAAGATGCCTCATTTTGCGTGCGGCATCATTGTACTGTGTTGGCACTTCGGCAGTATTAACCAGAAAATCATTTCGCCGGTTACCAACCTTAACGATTTTATCTAAGAATTTTACATCTTCTAATCCCCATCCTGTTATATCCTTATCAAAACCGTTTATATCATCATCAAGTATATCTGATTTGTATATGGCGCATATGCCGTAACCAAATTGCCGGAAGTATCCCGATTCATTTGTAATCTCACCAGCTGGTGTATGAGCATATTCAACATTTTCATCTGTCCAACGCCTCTTAGGGTCATATTGGCTGAATACGATCGGTAAATATACATACCGCCCTTGGACTGTGTTGAATCGTATACGATGCAATGTTTCCAATCGAAAAACCATATCCACATCGATGAATAGCATTATGTCATTATCCTGTATATATGATGAACGTGCGGCCACATCCAATGCCACACCCCGTGAAAATTCTTCGTTCCGTTGTATATAGTTAATGYGTTGGTAAATGTGCCGTTGACGTAGTTCCAATAAAAGTTGCAAGTGACCTTGAACGCTTGCAATATCTCCGAATATAACCACTAGTAAATTACAATTTTTATCTTGTTTTATCGCTACACGTTCGTAGTTATCTAAGAATCGCTGGAATGTGGCAAAACGTCCAGCTATTGGCAATACAAAGACGATTTTCGAAGTATCGACAGCGGCGCCAGCTGGCAAACCAGGAAGGGTAAAGTGTTTCGTTATTCTTTTCATGCCGGAGCTCAGCATATTTTTCAAATAGCCTAAAGATAAAATTAATATTAAAATGTTTTCATGTTGATTATGTAAATGCATATACTCACTTTTTTGAACTGTAACATTGTAAAAGTCCTCGTTGAATTCCTTTACAAATGTACCGGTGAATGCGCGCTGTACGTATAAATGACGACGCACTGGTACAGTCATTTTTTTGCCACGGTATCGCTTATAGATCAGTAAGAGGTCCAATATTAAATCTTGACCATGCAATGGATTTACCCTATTATAGCCGTAAAGCAGTTCACGAAACTCTATAACTCGACCCCTTTGTCGGGAATAATTGTTTATGCTCTCCATTACTTCTGTGATGACGTCTTCGAGTCCCTCCCGGAGTGCTGAGTCGATTTTGTGTTTGGGATTCGCATTTTCACTAGAATAGAGGCTTCTTGCAATAAAAGACCATTCGAGTAGGTCGGATGTCGATGAGGGTGTGAATTTCTTCAAATCCGGAGTAATGCCTAAATATTTATATATATTTACATATGTATGTAGCTAACTGTTACGGAAGTCAAAAATGTTTAATTTACCTAAAATGTTGTGATCTTCATAATGTTGATCRCTATTTGTCTCTTCAGGTATTAATTCGATACCGGGTACCAAATACTTGCTGTCACTGGGTATCTCCAAAAAACCCGCCATCCGCTTAATATCCCGATGCAGTTCGAGAGATTCCTGTCGGATCTCCTCTGCCTTAAGACCCTTTAATTATAGAGTGTASTTTGTTATACTTATATAAGTGCACAATCATGAATATAATGTAGAACGAACCTGCACGAATGAATGGAGTCGATACATTAACGGAGCCTGTTTGATCGGATGGAGAGAGATAGCATTGTGGATTTCTTTGCGCTTTAGTTTACCAGTGAATGCATATGGTCCGCTTGAATTGTGTCTCATAATGTATTGCATCTAAGAGAAATATGAACAAATGTAAGTGGAAAGACATTGGGTATACCGGAATCCATAATAAATACCTCGTAATTCCAGGTGCATGGGATGCCAGCAAATTTTTGTACACAACGTCCGATTTCTACATCTTCATGTGTACTGTAGAGGTTCTTCAAGCAAGTTGGTATATGCGGAGCAACTATAATATTAATTTGATCCTTCATTGAAAAGGTTCGTAATATTTTTTTACTCAAATTAAACTGACCTCTGCGTAGGGTTTCGCTACTAAGTATTACACCCGGACCACCCATACAAAAATTTTCATCAAACTCCAACGATAACAAGCCAAATTCCTCACTATTGCCCTTGCCGGCTTGACCTTTCCGAGAAAGAATATTTGTTTAAATTATCGTGTTTGCGCGACGTGTGCCATACTATTACCTATAAACTGTGGCTTAGAACTGTCGATCGAGCGCAGAAAGCGTTCGAGTTTCTCCGGTTCAATGTATACATCGTCATCGGCTCGTATGAACCATTCAAACTTGTCAATATAGTGTTCATACATGTAATAGAGCATCATGAATGATTTCTTCTGCGGTGGATAGCGATCGTCTACGTTCTTCAAACCTATTACCGGCAATTCGTTGGAATGAGAACCTTCTGAACTAAAGAAGGCTATTCTACCAGGCACCTCTTTCCCCCATGTATCATAAACGGCACGCGCACGTCCCTCGATAAAATTCTGCGCTGTCATTACGCCGACGAATACCAGATTCTTCTGTGAGGTTTTAATTGTTTCTTCTTCAGGATTCATACCGATGATTTCGAACGGGCTTTGTTGCCCGTTTGGCTTCATGCTACACCGTTTAACGATTTCTAGCGCGCGATAGTTTTTGAGAACCGTGCCAATACATAGTCCCAACGCGATGCCAAAAAAGGCGAATATCAACGTCTTGCGTTTGGTAACGGAATTCTGCATCAACATTTTGGATGATATGTGGACTATCGTTGCACTAAGTCATCGAAACTGAAAAAGCAAGGAAGTAAGGACGCATAAAAAAATGATTAGGATATCGGTTGGTCGGAATTGGTATTACTTTAAATAACGACCTGAACCCAGATTCTATCCCAATAATATTAATGATATATCCGATAGTGTATTTAAAATTGATTTAAAATTAGCGAGTATATTTCATGATGAATGAGGTTATGTATATGTAAATAAAGCGCTTGAAAGAGTTCCAGCCATTTGTTTACTGGTAATACTTTTGTTGAATAACTGATCAGAAAACGCCCATGGCTCAAGAAATGTTGGGCTAAATAAGCAATGAACTTGAGCTTGCGGTGTCATTTAGTAGGTTASATAGATATTTGATACTGAGGTATTGCACTGCGACCGAGGGTTAGCAGGTTACGACACATGGAAATCTACAAGTAATTGTTTTTCCTTCTTAAATTGTAAATTGTTTTACATCAGCGTAGGGAGAACATTTTTCGTAAATACAATGATCCTTAAATTTTTACTTTTGCCAGGAAGCAGTACTTTCGGCTGGAATGCTAATTGAAAGTGACGTTCAGTTTTTCAAAGGATTTTGTGCATGGAAGGGTTAGCTTCACTAAGTATTTTCCCTATATATACACAAATTAACTTGGGTGCGGTCGAATTTCTTTTTTAACTGTTTCTACAAATGTTCCATGATTCAATATGTGTATGTACATACATATGTATCACCGAAAGTATTTGCTCAAGTACCTGGGTAATTGCAAAATTCTTAAGTGATATTTAGCTCAATTGTGTATTCAGATGTTGCATCTGCACTTTATGTGGATATACAAATGCATTTAAGTACATGGATCTTTATAAGTGCTTGTAGGCAAGGAAATGAATGGGGTTAGTATTTCTCAGTGCCTTTAACATTAATATGTCAACATGAATATCTTCCATACAGTCCAAAGCTAAAACTTTTACACCCGGCGTATGTTAAAATATAAAATTTTTCAGTGTGTAGCTCAACTCGACCACATTGGAATATAATAGCGTCATACCAATGAGTACTTTTTTTGTAGCAATTAATACTTGTATATCTTCATGAAACTAGTATATTCTAAGCCTTTMAATTAATGGGGTATTCTACTCTAGAATTTTGAAAAATTCGTTTTTTTATATATTATACCTTTACCCTTAAGAACATATCCTCCAAATGATTTTTAAAAATTAAAATTATTTTAAGAGCTACAGTTACTTTAGTGACGCAGTACCTAGCCCGGTAGGTAGGTACACTCACTTTTTTAATCGCGTTTTTCTCGAAACTACTTTTTTCCACACGGTACCGGCATCCTTAATCCTTTGTTTTTAATATTTAAAAAATTCAGGAATTTAAAAAAAAAAGCGTAAAAAATGATTTTTTTTTCAGGCAGTCGCCATTTTTAAAAAAAAAAAAAATTTTTCGTGTTCCCTGAAATAGGGACTATCTCCTTACAGATTAAAAATTCCTTTAGATTTTTTCAGACCACCAGGAGAGTCAGGATTAATGTCACCAGGATGCGTAATTTTTTTTCACCTGTCTCAAATCAATTAAACAAATAACTAAAAGACTTTATTTGGAATTAGTTAAACACACATGGATATATGGATTTACGTACGTATTATGGATTATGGAAGGTATACCAATTTATTTGAGCAATCTGCCGCCTTGCACA